TTGGAGACAGAAGTCAAGGTGCCAATGGATTGTTGAAGGAGATGGTAATACTAAGTTCTTCCATGCAATTTCAAACGGAAGGAGAAAGAAAAATTTAATCTTTAGTGTGGAGGAGGGGGGTCAGGAAATAAGAGAAAGCCAACAGATCACAAGGATCTTTGTTAATCATTTCAACGAAATCTTCACAAACTCAAGCGGGGTGATAACAGAGCTACCAGTAATGGGAACTTCACCTTGGAAGTTCACCTTGGAGAGGAACTGTTTTTGGAGAGTAGTCTCTGTTTTTGGAACTTCACCTTGGAAGTTCACCTTGGAGAGGAACTTCACCTTTCAGAAGAGCAGTCTCTGTTTTTGGAGAGGAACTTCACCTTGGAAGAGATTAAGAATGCAATATTTTCCATGGAAAGATCAAAAGCCCCCGGACCAGATGGATTTTCAATGGCCTTTTATCAAGAATGCTGGGATTGGTTGAAAACTGATATTCTGGAAGTGTTCAATGAATTCTTTCTCAAGGGAGAGGTGCCTCGAGGGGTGAATGCCACTTTTATCACCTTAATCCCGAAGAGGAGGGAGGCCAAAACCCCTAAAGATTATAGGCCAATTAGTCTTGTGGGGAGTATATATAAAATTATAGCAAAGGTTCTCTCAAAAAGGATCAAAAGAGTACTACCATCGATCATTTCACCATTCCAAGGTGCCTTTGTGGAAGGGAGGCAGATTGTGAATCAAATTTTAGTAGCCAATGAGTGTGTCACAGAAAAAAGAAAGGGTAGAGGAAAAGGGCTGGTGTGTAAGGTGGACCTAGAGAAAGCATATGATATGGTTAACTGGGCCAAATGGAGATCTTGGATGAGAGGATGTCTAAGTTCCATCCATTATTCAATCCTTATTAATGGAGTAGCGAAGGATTTCTTTCTGACTGAGAGAGGAATTAGGCAAGGAGACCCCTTATCCCCTTTTCTCTTCACTTTAGTGGCTGAGGTGTTAAGCAGAATGGTGGCGAAAGCTGATCTCCAAGGCATATTTAGAGGGTGGAGGGTAGGTAGAAATCAAGAGGTTGTTACCCACCTTCAATTTGCATATGACACAATCTTCTTTTGTGAGGGAGGTAACGAGGAAGGAGTGGTTAACCTTAAGTTGATATTGGATAACTTTGTCGGGGTGACAGGTTTAAGGATAAATTGGACCAGAACAAGCATTGTAGGGATCAATCTAGAGGAAAGGGAACTTCATAGATTTGCAGAGATTTTGGGATGTGAAATTAGAAGGTGGCCAATTAGCTACTTGGGTTTACCTTTAGGTGGTAACCCTAGGTCAGAAGGTTTTTGGAAGCCAGTCATTGAAAGATTTGCTACGAAGCTACCTCTATGGAGGAATTATATCTCTCTTGGGGGAAGGATAACATTGATTAGAGCCACGTTGGCAAACCTCCCTATTTACTTCCTCTCAACCTTTAGAATACCTTGTAGAGTAGCAAGGAGGCTAGAAAAATACATGAGAGATTTCCTTTGGGACCCAAGGGAGGAGAGGAAGGCTCACCTGATAAATTGGGATCAAGTTAGAATGCCCAAGGATAAAGGGGGTCTGGAAATAGGAAATATTTCACTTAGGAACGTAGCTCTGCTAGGAAAATGGTTGTGGAGATTCCCGTTTGAGAGAGATAGGCTATGGCACAAAGTCATTGTGAGTATTCATGGTTTGGTTGGAAATGGTTGGGATGCAAAAGCTGCCCCTCATGTTTCCTCATCTTCTCCTTGGAAAGCAATTTTTGAAATTTATCCAACATTCCTTAATTCCATTCGATTTGATGTGGGCCAGGGTAACAAAGTTCGTTTCTAGGAAGACCTTTGGGTAGGAGTTAGTCCATTTAAAGATCTCTTCCCTGACCTATACACTTTATCAAACTTCAAAGGGGAAACAATAAGCATTTTGGGTAATCCTAGCCTAAATGGGGTCAATTGGAATCTGGGATTCAAGAGGGGCCTCAGGGAAAATGAATGTGCCTCTTTAGTCCAATTGTTGGATCTGTTAGGACAAGTTCATTTGGACCCAACCTTGGAAGATTCTAGAATTTGGAAAGGTTCCTTAGATGGTCTCTTCTCTTGTTCCTCCTTCTTTAGTGTTCTTGCCACACCTAGCAACCTAGTTGGGGACTTTCCTGTAAAAGAAATTTGGAGTAAGCCTATTCCCCCAAAAATTCAAGCCTTCTGTTGGGAAATTTTCCTTGGCAAGGTTAATACTTGTAATATGCTGCAGAGAATAAGGCCTTTTGCTTGCCTTTCTCCTCACATGTGCTTCCTTTGTAAGGAAAGTGGTGAGACCTTGACGCATCTATTTTTATCTTGTTCTTTTGTGCATCACATTTGGGATTCTTTTTGTTTTCTCTTTGGTGGCAGGTGGGTTCTCCCTCAAGATGTGGCAAGACTTTTCAACCGAGACTTTTTCAAGCAATCAAAGAAAAGAGGGAAGGTTATGTGGAAAACTACAAAGGCAGCTATTTGTTGGGTAATATGGGAAGAAAGGAATAACCGAATATTTTTGGATAAGAGTAGAACAAGGGAGGAGGTAATTGACACAATTAAAGTTAAAGTAGCCCATTGGATAAGATCCTTGCATATCTTTCAAGAGTTCTCAGTCATAGACATTATAAGATCCTGGACAGAAGTAGCACAATCTTCAAGAGTGAAACAGAGAGTAAGGATGGAATGGAAACCTCTAGATGGTAACAAGATTAAACTGAATTTTGATGGAAGCTCCTTCGGAAATCCAGGACTGTTAGGTATCGGGGGAGTAATCAAAAATTCTGAAAGAAGAATAGTAGCATTGTTCTCTGGACCTATTGGCATGGGCAACTCTCTAAAAGCTGAGTTAATGGCAATGCTACAAGGATTGAAGATAGCTAAGAAACTAGGAATGAGGCATGTTGAGGTTGAAGAGGACTCCAAGGTGATCATCTCTTGGGCTAAAAACAATAGAACTACTCCGTGGACTTTCAAACAAGTGATAAGGGAAGTGGAAAGGATCACAAGGGAGGTAGAGGCTGAATTTAAATGGGTTAGAAGGAGTGCAAATGGGCTAGCTGATTATCTTGCTAAACAAGGGGCTTTGAGGCACCAACTGTTTTGGGCTGCAATGTAAAGAAGGACAGAAATATGTAACAGTGTGGGAGCTATAACCCCATACACAAAGTTGTAACACTTTTTAACTCTAATTTCAAAGAAAATTCTTCTTTGCTGATAAAAAAAAAGTCTCAACGCCCCACCAACAGAATACAATGGAAGAAAGTCAAAAGTTAGCCCAAAATATAGATTCCCTATTCACCCCTTGCTTGGCTGACCCATCAGAAAATGAGTTAGCAGTCCTCTTCACCCAGCTGTAATGCAACACAATATCTCTACTCAACCATTTGAATTTTTTCTTCTCATTGTTATAACTCCACAAACCACTGTCTTCTTCCTTTAGCCACCTAATCACCACCTCCGAGTCACCTTCAAGGACCAAACATCTGATGTTCAAATCCCTTGCTCTTTGGATGCCTTCCAGGGCTGCAAGAATCACAACCCTAAGAGAGTCTCCTTCTCCAATTGGGCCTAAGAACATGGCAGTGATAACCCCATCCTCATTCCTAAACACTCCCCCAATCCCAGAAAGCACTGGGTTCCTTAAGCAGCTACCATCAAAATTCAGTTTTATGAACCCAGAGGGAGGAAGGGGACCAAGAAGGACTACGAGTCCTCTTACATAGGGCAAAGGAAGCTATCTCTTTCCAATTTCTTACCAAATCAGCCACAGAATAACCTGAGAACAGCTCCATAGTCACCAAACATAGCTTCTAGGCTTTCCATTTGGGGCCTACCTTGTAATGCCAAAAGCAACTACAAACGGGCACCTAGTATCTGTGCCTGCCTCACTAGTGGCCTAAAACTCTACAGGATTTCCTCATTTGTCTTCTTCCAGGAAATTATTGTTAGACAGTGTCCCTCCACCCATCAACTTTAAAGTTTAAACCTTATTAAATCTAGTAGTTGAGCCCTTAGGGAGTTTCCTTGTCCAATTGGTCCAGAAAAGCTGAGGAGAATATTGCTGTTATTACACCTTCAATACTTGAAGCTCCCTTGTTGCCAAGACTACACCCATCAAATTTACAAACAAACTCAAAAAATAATCTTCAAGCTTTTTGTTTATTTTTGTTAGTGACATTTTAAATTATTTTGACCTTTTAAGATGGTTAAGCCTATTACATTAAAAAATAACATAAAAAACTAAAATTAACCAAGAATAGAAAACCACCAAAATTATGAAATAACCAGTGGAGAGGAAAACAATTTCTTCTTCAACGTTTTCTTTCCACTTTTTCATATCTGCAAAACAACTCATCCACACAAATCCTCCTCACCCTAGAGTTGATATAGTTGATATCTCCTCGTTATCCTATATTTGAGTCAATATCCATTTCTTATTCTTGAACACCACAAAGCATCTTCTATCCCCCCCCCCAAAAAAAAAAATGCACAAAATCCAAAGCCAGTATCCTAAATCAAGACTAAATCCACTTTTGAACTACTTTCTCATACAAGTGCAAGCTTTTGTAAATATCTTAAAACTTTCATCTTTCCAAACGATTACCTTCATTGATCCACATTGCTTCCCCCTAATCAGTTCCTTTTCTTGCTTTCCCTTAACATTCCAACAAAGCTATTTGCTTTTTAAGCACATATGAGTAACATGTGTATAATGAGCTGCTGTTTGATTTACCAAAAGACCAAAAAGCTAACAACTATATATGACACTGCATCCTAATGTATAAATGTCTGCAAGGTAAAAAGTACAAAGATGAGATCTATAGTCTGTTGACCCAACATAAACAAAAAGGAACTTTGAGAATGAGTTTAGTAAAATGCTTATGAGGTACGATTAAAGTTAATTGGACATCATATAATCCACAAAATAAGGAAAATGAAAACAGAATGTAGAGGAAACATGTAACATTTCTTTATTACTTGCGATGGTTAAGACAGCTTTCCAGATGGGCCACTTGCACATGCAGAAGCTTGCAGAGGAACTGAAGGAGTTTGGAAAGAAGCATCAGAAAAGGTCCTAGATGCCTTGGAGCAGTTCAGTGGTAAAAGAGGTAGCTCAGGAGCTGAAGCCTCACTTTCAATGGGGAAATCTTCATAAAGAAACTTGGCTTTTCGACTTAGAACAGCTTTTAAGCTTGAGTGTCTCTTGCTATACTTTATAAAATATCGATCAGATTCACCAAAACTGTTCTTTTGCAGTGCAGAACTATTTCCACCACATGCCAATTGATAATGGGTATTGCTATTATCTGCAGCAACCTTATATTCCAACTCAGCTTGCTTCTGACAAGATTGTGGTGGAGAGTTTATACTGTTGTCGTCGCCAATGGAAGTAATTAACTTATTAGAACAGCTTGCCTCTTCCTCCATATGCAGTGTCACTTTATCATCTTCACTATCAGGTTTCTTTACATGATGTCCTTCCAATTCTCTATCATAACTTACCACTTTACCACCCTCCTCATTTACTTTGCATTCCTCATCTTGAGAACTTGTCCTGTACATCTTTCTGTTTGCCCTTAAAGCACCCAAATCAATAACCGAATCCTTATCCAATGTGTCAATGCAAACTGATGGCTCTGAAATAGTTCTGTCTGGGTTCTCAAATAACTTGTTAGCAGTACAAACTTCAAGCTTTCCACAAACACTAGGACTTCCAGAATCAGATATCTTATGTAACGAATTACTAGTACAGTGCCATATCTTTGGTGGAACCCAACATTCTGTATTGACTGAGCACAAGTTCTTGGAAATCCTAGGGGAGCTGTTAATTGCCCGATGCAATTGGAATGCTAATTCTGCATCATCAACAACCGAAGCACAACTCACTGGAGAATCCTTGACTCCATCCTCTTGTCCTGCAACAACCATAGCCAAATCCAATGCATCCTTTGCCAACTCGGCAGCTCTTCTTGCTACCACAGCTTTCTTTAGAGCCTTCTCTCTGGCCACAACAGCGGCAGCAATTTTCTTATCCACAACAGAATTTGCCTCATTCACGACATCCTCCAACGACTTGGAACAAACCCTAACAGCCGATACCCTAGAACTCCCCATGGAACAAGCATCCGACACAACCTTGCTATCTCCAGTAGGGTTTCCACTCCTACAGGTACCATTCGAATTGGAAAGTGATCTTGGAACCCAACAATCAATGCACGTAAAAAAATTAGAAAACGAATTAGAATATGAACCAAACCCTTGATACTTCAAAATACAATCTTTGTGAACTCTGCGTTGACACTTGCCACAATCGACTCCCTTCTCAGACACTTTGTTAAGACAATACGAGCAAATTTCCGCAGATTTTATACCGCTAAAACAAGTCTTACAAACAAGAACAATACGCCACTCGCTATCTAGGGTTAGGAGCTTATCCTTGCCTTTGTTAGTCACCCGAGCACCACAGCCATGGCAATCAGAGAAATTCGGCAAATTTCTGGTTTTCTTTCTCAACCGGTCTGCAGTATCCGAACAAGCAGAATCCGGAGAAGCCCGTCCATCTTGCTTCATACCGAGGAGTCTCTTTCGTGGGGGTAGAGACGAACGAGCACCGTTTTCAGGATCAGCAGCGTCAGCAGGAGCTGCTGAACCCGACCTGCTATTTTCTTCCCCTCCTTTCTCTTCCACCATTCGAGCACTGGAAAATTAGGGTTTTAGAGCGCTACCCTTTTCTAGGCTTTCTCTCAGAATGAGATTGCCGGAGAATTAGGGTTTCTTTCAAAGCGATTTTCTCCTGCAAAAGCGGTGGAAATTAAAAATAACAATAATAAAAAAAAAAAACTCCTAAATAAGCATCTGATGGTAAAATAGTAAAGGGGAGTATATCATGGAATTTTGAATAAATTACTTCCCAAGTTCTAACAGTAGACTTATAGTTGTTTATACCCAAAAAACAGTATTAGGTTCCACCATGAAGTATTAACAAGAAATTACCGTTAAAACGGTTGCTTCTCCCCCGCGCCAAAATGCCAAATCAACTTTCTCCGAATTTAGGTTTCCGTACTAGAAAACGGGTACAAAGAAACAGGGTTTGGATATAGATTGGGATCCATTTATCCCTTTACTTCTCTTTTTGGTAAAATGAATGCAATTACTATTTTATCCCACACATTCATGACAACTATCATGCCCAAAAACATTTCTGGGAAAATGTATACTTGCATGTTTTTATTCAATGGGAAAATGTTTCGAATGCACGGCTGCAAATGCTGTGAGGTGGGTGCAAAGACTATTCTGTGAGAAGGAAAATCAGATTCCAAAATTCCCAACAGCACAGGCCAAACAGCCAAAGCTTTCCCAACTGAATAGGATGGTAAAAACGAGACCAAATCAGTCCCCCACAACGTCCCACAGCACATCCTCTCCGTGTATTAGGAACATCTCCCGATGATAATCCCAAAAAGGATGACATCGGGAGATGTTCTCAATACACGGCAGAATGTGCTGTGGGGGGCAATCTTATGAGGGGCTGGTTTGAACTAAAAACATATGGTGACTTTTCTTTTTAACAGATAGTTTTAACTTGTCCGGGATTGTCTTTTCGTGTAAGATTAAATAGGACAGACCCGACACCATAAAGTTTTTTTTTTTGCCTAAGATGGTGATAATGAAGATGATTTTCTTCATTATTTTATTCAATGCTTTACTTCTCTCTAAGATTTTTTTATTCGTTATTTTTCCGTGAGCGATTTAGATCATCTCATGGTAACCCTACATCAAATTGGTACTTCGAGCAGTAAGTGCTGTATCAACTCAGACAGCAGGTCAGGTGTCTGCACAGTAACCTCAGAAACCAGGGTTTAGTTTTTATCAGTGTCAACTGATGATTCTTAAATGCCAGCTAAATGTGCACCAAATGCACATAATGGCAAGCAAGTAAGTATCAGCAACACATGTAAAACATGACAGGATATGTTCCATAATGGCAAGTCAGTACGGCAGAGTTATTCAGGCAGAAAATGTATGTCCTCCGTCCTTAGAGCTGATGGTGTTGACAATTCCTTGCTCTTCACCCCCTTCAAGGTGAAGCATCAGGACATAAAAAAGTTTGGTTGATCAGGAAGCCAAAGATCTTTCTAAATATCAGCAGTGTCTCCAAAGCCAAGTTGCCGACCAATAGTCTCTAGTACATCTCTGAAATCTGAATTTGACTAGTAACCGTAGTCATGAGTACAGGTTGATACAGTTCCTTATCATGTCCTATAGGATAACGATTAAAATCTGCTTTATGGTTAGAGGATGAAGCATCACTTGCTTTAATGGCCAGCACAATAGTTGTGTTGATTTGGCCCCATGCTTCCATCTGCTGTTGAGTTTTGAGTACGCTGAAGACAATGAAATCAATGGAATGACGCCATTTTATATTCAACCAAAACGTGTTTCATGCTGGTCTGATCAGTGAAGGTTTACACTTTTATTTCTGTGGAAAATAAAACAGATATTACAAAAAAGGCATTTTACAGGGGACCTCTGGATATGATAATCAAGATGACACTAGCAGCTGAAACAAGCCAATCCATGATACATGTTGTCATAGCTTTTCCTCTTTCTATTTTTAAGTCTCTATAATCAAGTGACAAACCTATAGGACAAAATGGGAAAAGGGAAACTGAAGAAAAATAGGGGTGGGGATTGAAGAAAAAACAAAACTCCCTCAACCAGATCTACAGAGATGGGCCGCTTGAAAGATTGTGGATCCAGGTGCTCAATTGCTGCTTGAACTTTCCTGTTGATAAGAGAGCAAGTTAATAAGAATCCGGATGTCCTATCCACAGGACACTCTGCTGCACATTGGGGACATATCCCCACGAATGTTAACATGTAAACATGGAAGATGTTCCCAATGTACAGCTGTAGTGTCCTGTGGGTAGGCAGGGGTAGGGGATCCGAGCTCAGTTGATAAAGATGCAACTAGGATGAGAACAAGGAGACTAACCTACCTGAATCTCTTGGAGAAATTCTTCTAGTTCAGCAACTATCTCTGAGAAGGAAGGCCGTTTAGAGGGAACTGCTTCCCAACACCTCTGCATCAAGTCCAACGGTTTAGGGTGTGTTTTCTCAGGAAGAGCTGGTCGAAGACCCTGTTATAGTAACAGATAAGTGAGTAGTAGATTGATATATTTTTTTGGAAGCACAAAAAGAGTTCCGTGTAGCTTAGACACAAAGTTTTCATAAATGAACAGCCACCACTATCATCAAACCAATAGGCTGCACTCAGATATACGGCACAATAATTTATGGACACAGAAGTATACCGGGGAAAGGGCTTTCTAATCAGCTTCTGACGAAGGCAAACACATATACATTAAAATACCATAAAAAGGGGATGTTGAGTGATACCAGGTCAATGTTGGGATGTTAGTTCCTTCATGTTGACTCAATATGTGCACATTTCTAACACAACCTTTAGAAGTATAAGTGACCTTGTAGGGATAGTTACAGCAGATGAGCATCACCTTCCTTGAAGTGGAACTCTCTTTTGAACTTTCTCATTTTGAGTTTTAGTAGTAACATGATTTTTTGGATGTGTTTTATATGGAAAATTAATCTCATTGTCTCTCATAGGCCATAAATTCTTTTCTCATATGGAAGATTAACATCACTGGCTCTATGGAACATCCTTGACCATGATCAATTTAAGTTGACTAAGAATCTGTTTCACCAGATACGGCACTGGATGGAATAATACTTCTTGAGCAAGGTTTTGCATCAGGAAACTCATCAACCATAGGCTAACTTCTTGGAGACTTACGATGGACTTAATCTGTTAATTCCATAGTCCATTAGTCATTATGATTTGCTAATAATTTAATATATTTGTTTCCATCTCCCATGATCTTTACAGGATCCAAATACCAAAATTTCATCACTCCGTTTCGTTCATCCAAGCCTTGTCCCAACTATTCTTTTTGTATTTTTGACAAGTGAATTGTATTTGAAACACCACACCATGATGCTTACATGCCTTCTGATAACGTCAATGATTAAACTAGTCATGACAAATCATAACAACCACAAACAGGTAATCTTGTAATCAGCAGAAAACCTGATCTGGAGTGTCATTCATTAACAATTCACCGAGTGAACCTATTTCCTAAGTACATAAGGTTAGATGCTGCATGTTGTGGCTGCCGTGGAACATCCCTTTCTATGAGATTCTGATAATCTCATAACGGAGGAAAGGGTTATGTCACAATGCAAAAGCTTTATACTATATAAATTTTAAAACTAAATTTAATAAAATTGCAAACCTGTCTCACTCCTAGGGCAGCTTGTAAAGGGGTCATGGTTTCATATGGGACCTGCAATGCAAAAACAAAATAAGCCTTCATAAAATGGAAACATTCTGCAGTCTAAATTTTCTTAATCACCACATAGTAACTAGTGCCCTGCTGCAATCGGAGCATGTACCTTACCTTGCCTGTAGTCAGCTCCCAGAGTACTATAGAGAAACTGAAAACATCAGCTTTCTGGTCATATGGTTGATGGTTTATAACCTTGTCCCAAATCAAGAGTATCATAATTAGGATGAACTCTAAAATTTTAAATCAATTTAAAAAATAGTATTAGTATTTTGGCATTAAAAATGCTAGAAATGAGAAATTAGATGCTCAAGTTACAGGAGAATAGGGCCTCTTCAATGGCCAAAATAGTAACACATTTACCCCGGGTCAACTGACAATAGGCTAATACTATCTTATTGTAAATGGTAGCTATAAACTCGGTCCCTGCTGTAGCCATCATCAAATGTTTAACTCGATGCATAAATAGGGATGCAATTTGAGCAGGCCTGGGTTAAAATTTGAAGGGGCCCAGCCAGATGGACAGTGCCTGATGCTGTAAAAATCCTTCAAATTGAGTAGCCAATATGCATCCTACATCTAAAGACCCAATAGAGGGAATTGAACAACAAGAATCAAGTATCGAATATGAAAACACAAAAAGTAAGATTGCCCAGAATTTCTGAATCAAGTCCATGCAACAAAGACATTACAAATTAAACATAGCATCACCTCAGGTGCCATCCATCTGTATGTTCCAGTCTCTGCTGTCATTTCTCCCCCTTGATTTTGGAACCGAGCAACACCAAAATCTGCCACCTTTACAACCTTCAGAAAAACAATATAATTTTTTCCATGCATTAGAAAGACTAGAAATGCTTCTAGCTTTAAAGATGCAATTTTAAGAAGTGCGAAGTCATACTTAGTGTCCAACTAATTAAAACTATCTTTTAAGGCAAAGTTACTAGATAACACAAATATATGGTATGTCTCCCCAGAAGTCTCATGATGAGAAGGCCAGGGAATAGAAAGGACATTTGAGGAACCGTTATGATGAAGCATTTAAAGAAATTTAAAACCAGTGTATACTTTGATATCAGTGAAGAATGGTATCGAAACCAATCCATTGTTCTAAGTGCCCCATAGAAAATCCATAAGGATCACATCTACCCTGTTTTCACCTTTCAAGAAGGTCAAAATTTATTTGATGTTCTCCATTCTTCCAATACTGTTTGGAAAGAGAAAATTGGGATAATGTCATATTTGGTTTCAGGTTATCATTATTTGATAAATAATGAAAAAGTTTCATTGAATAAATCAAAAAATGAGGAAGAAAAACAGGTATCCTCCTATATGAGGACCTTGACAAAGAATTTGACAAAGGCAACAAAAAAAAATACAACAAAAGACTAGGCGACTCAATCAAGGCAGAATTATTGGCACTAGTGCAGGGGTTGAAACTTGACAAAACATTAAATTATAACAATCTATTATGGAAGGTGATTCTTTCACGACCATTGGGTGCATGAAGAACAAAAGTAAAGATCCTTGGTGCTATAGACACACCACAAGAGAAGTAACCTGCTTATCCACCATTGACTGGATTAGTAGAAAAGGCAATGACAATTGGAAAGACAAGGGGCCCACAGGGAGCATTTATTTTGGGGCACTACAAGCAGGGTACAGGATATTGCTGTATCTTAATTAAAGGAAAGGGTTTGGGGGGAGGGGACC